GAGAAATGCCAGCTAAGTAATGTAGCTGCGTCAAGACTGAGACCTGGACAAATCAAGGAAGAGTTGAAACCAAGACTTTGTAGCTGAGTCTGAGTCAAGACTAAGACTAGATTAAGATTTTTTAAGAATATTATTGAAAAGATAATTTATAAATGCTGATGGTAAGAAATAACAGATATGGTAGGGCACACAATATTTTACTGTCCATTCTTTGAATGAGGACAGCAGATGACTGTTTTTCCCCTGTTAACCAGTCTGAGTGCATGTTTTATTTTAAAGCTCTAGAGAAAATATTTTTGAATGTGTTGTTGAGATTTAATAATTCAGTACTGCAGGTGAGGAGGTCTTTCTCTCGGCTGATCTCAAGAACAAATTCTTGATCCTCTTTACCTTGAGACAGAAACAAATCCGAGACCATTCATTTGCGATCTTGAGGCCGGACTTGAGTACTACAACATTAGTGCCAGCCAACTCCCCTTCCCCTCCCTTGACTCCCTCGTCCTCCCCCTTGGCCAGACTCGAATCCCAGGCGAGCCCCCTCTGAGCCGCCCCGTTTCCAGTTGAATTGCCCTCATTCTTCTCAGGAACCTCCAGGGGGCCGGCTCCAGCAGTGCATGGCAATGAGACGCCTGAACACTCGCCTCCGTTCCCCCTCGACTCGCACTCACACCTGGGATCACCATTTCATTCCACAGCCCCGGTGAAATGGAAAGGTGATCTTAATCTGCACTCCCCACCTAACGCACACACATACACATGCACAGGCTGACCCAGTGTGTAGGTTTTCCAGAGAACGCCAGAGTACAAGGAGTCTCCATAGGGCTACAATTGAAGAGCTTTCTTTCCTCTTTTTATATAGAGTCCCTCTCTCTCTAAACTGGTCTTAATAACTGTTATTTTAGTTGCTCTCTGTGGCCAAATCTGAGTGATGACAGCTGGTCAGTGCAAATGGCAGACACTCACTGTGGGTGGCAAAAAATAAAATAATTATAGCATCAAACATGATTTATGCTTAATTCATTACCACTTGTTCTCTGTATTAATTGTGTGTAGATTTTGCATGTTTCTCTAAGTGCATTATCCAATTTTGCTAGCAACTTCTTTGCACATAATACATTTGTCTAAAATTGTTTAAAACTTGAACTTTTGACACATTAATAGGGATGCCACGTTTTTGTCTGAACATTGCTTTTTTATATCTGTAAATTCGGAAGTTGTATGTTGGCTGATTGTGATGCTGTGTTGTTCTCCATCAGTGTCTCTTGATGAAGTGTTAAGCAATTGAAGCTCAGTTATGTGCTCCACTCAGTTATGTTAATAATGTGTTTAAACACAGCTGTTTGTGCAGCTGAAAGCCTACTCACCTTATTGATTTCCCATTGCCAATGTCTTGTGGGAGCAGTGTGAGGTTAGTTTAGCTAGAGGTTGCTTCATTCATCTTATGTCCTATCTGATCATCATCATTACAGTGGCATATTGTGTGAAAGGATGATAGAGCTAGGGTTTGATTTCAGATGCACAAAATGGCGGTCGGGCAGGCAGTGAGGTCTCTGGTCATCAGTGTAGCCCATGTGTCGATCCAGAGGGACAGGAATCCCTTGAGCTCCAACTTGGGTTACCATGGCAACATTATCTTGGTCCACCACTACCTTAAGCCATTGCACATCCTGATCACAATACGTGTCCAATACTGCCAGATTACCTGGGGAGCCTGCTCTGTGGGTATCAGGAGACTAAGACTGGATTTCAGAGCAAATCACATTTTTTCCTCCACAAGACCCTTTAATTAACTTATCAGGGCTTTGCACAGTCCCTGCTAGATCAAGCCAGAATAGAAGACTGTTAGTTCTGCTGCTTTAGCCAGGTTTGTTTGGCATAGCATCTGCAGGTGACCAACTGCCCCAACTGCCTCTGTTTTTTTCTTCCATTAGCACATAATTCCATAGCTAGTGCAAAGCTGGCAACATGACCAGCCTTTTGGCAGGACCCATTAATTGACTACCATTTGAAGATGTGCTAACTGCTTTAGTAGATCTGGCTCCAAGTCAGGGCCAACCTTGTTCCTGGAGACATATCCTTCCAACCCTACTTTAACATGTTGTCTCTAATGTTCACATGTTTCTTGCCTCATTGATTAGAAACAGATATTCTTATGATAAGGTTAGAAGTAAATTCTTTAGCAGCATGGTTTAGCGCTATAGTTGTAATTTGGTTGGCTAAGAATAAAGCAATATCTAGCCTAGTTGTCAGATGAGCTGGTCTGGTACATTAGGGTTAAATTTCTAGCTTTAAACGCACAACCATGAAAAGGTCCGGCCTACTGAGCCAGGCTGTTGGAGCATGTTCACAGTGGCCTATGCCAGGAGTGAAGTGTAATGGAGATGTTTAGAGCATATCTGCTTTGCTTGCATTCTTTCTTGTGCTGCTGCTAAAATAATAAAAGAGCGGGTTACCTCAGGACACCTCCCACTGAGGCAAACTTGCATTGTTCCAATGGGCCCCACCGCAAGGGTCCTGCTTCTAAAAGGTACAGCTGCCCACCTGGTGGGAAACACACTCTTTATGCTGTTGAGACTATGTAACAGATGCTGTTGAGCTTTGCTCGTGTCAAAGGAAGCACGGATACAGTTGCCAATTAGATCGTATTATATTGTTTTCTCACTTGCTGTAAGACATAACCCACAGCATGCTGTTTGGGTTAGATTTTATTCCTTCCCAACGGCAAACATATCTTAAATCATTAAAGCCACACATAATAGAACATCACCAATGTTTCAGGATCTCTTACAGTGCTAATTTGAGCCAAGCTTACCACATGGAAAGCTAAATTGTCCTGAAAAACTGGAAATATTAATACAGTAAGTGATTTTTACTGTGTCTCCTCCTGATGTGGATGTGCTTTCTGTGCCGTTACGCCTTCAAACATGGCAAAATTGAGTAGACAGAGAGGAAGAGACGGCCACAGCGGGACCGCTAAAGCATTTCATCTTCCCGTTGCGGCCATGCTCTGAGAACTATATTAGCTCGTAATCAGATTCTACCAGTTCATTAAACTTGTCTCAGCGCTCATCCCTGTTTATGGCGACCACGTTTTTTCATGAGAGCCTCGTACAGCAGGGCTGGGTCCAGAGGGGAGTGCTAAGAAGAAGCTTTTGCAGCCTTTGTTGCAACCTAATGCCGCCTAAAGGCAGTCCTCATAGAGAAGCGGTTTCTATAAGAAAGCCTTGCCTTGTGTGGATATCTAGAGAGAAAGAAATGTCATGGGCTTCCTCCACCCTCTGGTAGCAAAGCAAGGTTTGATTGATTGTGTATGTATGTGCGTTGCCTCTGTGCTTCCTTACAGCCACACAGCAGGTCACCTGGGTGATGCAGAGCTTTTTGTCTTATCTACGAGTAGAGGAAATGGTTCAGGGCACATTATGCAAGGCGTACTGCTGGAATGCTAACATGTGTGTGAATCTCTGCCAAGTTCTGGTGCATTTTCCGGTTAAACATATATCACAGTTCATGGAAATTACAGAGCATTTTATCAGGTGTGTATTGTTTTCGTTTTACCAGTGGCGCATCTTTTCATATACTATCCAGATATCTCTTTAAACCCTGAGAATCACAGGCTTATTGCATACTAAGACTTATTATTCATGAACTTCAATGCAAACTGGCTGAACTATTCTTAGATTATAGAAGCGTGTAATAAAACTTTGGGCCCACAGGTGGGCCTGGCCATTTAAAGAGTTTTATTTATCTCACAGTTTGTGTAAATTCATCAATAATTAAAGTAAAGCTGAAGCTCAATGCATTTGGTTTAGACTAATTTGTCAGCTGGCACCCTTTGATCAGAGATTACAAGTGGTTAACAAGGAACGAAGTGAAATCTGAAAACAAAGAATATTTTTCACAAAACATTTAAACGAAAGTGATGGGGACTTGGACTTGAGTCATGTTCGAGTCATATGTTGACTGACTCACAACTTAACTCGCACTTAAGACTTGTGAAGTTTCACTCTAAGAAAAAAAAAAAAGAAATAAAATTAGGATCGCCAGCCTTAAATGCTGTAAATTCATTTCTGACCTTATTTGTGTGACTGCTTGTGCCATGCAGTGCCATTCTCTCACAGCTCACAGGTTTCAAATGAGTCTTTCATTATAGAAAAACCTTCAGTCTGATGGATAGAATGAATACACTAAATGTAATGCTTGACCAAAAGGGGAAAATCAATTGGAAACGGTTGGCTAGCATGTAGCTTGTATAGCAACGTGCTATCTCATGCACTAGCTAATTTGATTAGATGTCAGCTAATCTATCTGGAGTTTAAGTAAATTACACACATTCCTTTAAAACTTCACACAACTTCAGCTAGATTAGCTATTATGCTAGCTAGCTATTATACTTGCTATACACACTATCAACCATGTCTAGTTCTTTTGCATTATTTCTTTTTTGCATTTTTGTAAAATGCAATGCCTGCAGCTTATAACTAAACTAAACTAAACTAAAATCAAATTTTCTACTAAAGACTTGATTCGGACCCGAAACCCAGATACAGCCAGAAAGTATATACAAATATACATAAAACTATAAAACTAGATCACATAATTAACAGGTTAACTCTAATTTCAATGTTTTTTCAATGTTTCCTAAAAAATACTGTATATTTTCTTTTTTTTAATTCTCTATATCATTTCTAATTTCTGCCTGTAATAGCACTGTACTATCTTTGCCCTCCGTTTCTATGAACCTGCAGTGCCAGCACAGATGTTTTTGTTTACTCTAGACTGTAAAGCTGAAGTGTTTATTAATTACATACCATCGTGACATCACCAGCTGCTTCATTGTAGTCTGTGCTATTGTTGAGTGAGAACAGCAGTGCGGAAAAGGTGAGAAGATCACACACGGACGCTTAGTCATGGTGAACGCGGCCTACGCAGTCGCTCCCCTCTCACCTTTCTCCCATCTCACTTCTCTCTCTCACTCTCTCTCCCTCACTCTGTCCCCACAGACTCCATCAATAACAGGATGTTAATGCTTGACGGAATGCCTGCAGTCCGAGTCAAAGCAGAGCCGCTGGAATCTGAAAGAGGGGTAAGAGGGAAACATTTGTTGTTATCATATGAAAACCTTTCTTTTTAGTACCATTTGAAAACTGCAGCACATTGTATGAACATGTTATGATGGTATAAATTGTCCAAATTTATTTGGAATAAAATCTTGTTACATTAGCATACAGTAAAGTTAAGAATGTTGTTTGCCTTCTCTTGTGAAGTTACCATTTTGGAGACATGAAGTTTTGTTATCCTGGAGATGAGTTTTTTGTTTTTGCTGTTTTCTGCCTCTACACCCTACCTCCACACCTCACTCCTCCTCTGCTTCCATCCTGAACACCCCTTCAACCCCTTAAACCCCAACATTGCTTTCCACGCTGTGATACCCTTAATTACTCCCAGGCATTGATAGAGGGGGTGAAGGGTGTGTGTGTGTGTGTGTGTGTGTGTGTGTTTGTGTGAGTGTGTGTTTGAGTGTGTGTGGGGAGGGGCTGTCCCTGATGGAGCACAGGGCTTGGGGAGAGAGACACAGCTGGAGCAGGAATGCTCCCAGGGCTTTCAGTCAGGGCCACTGTAGCCAGGCCCACCATTTTGGCAAGACACAAGCACAGATGCACAGAGATACTCCTGCTGGAGTCTAGCTCTCTGTCTGTTTTTCTCTTTATTTCTTAGTTTCATCAAGGATCCACGCCACTATCACTGTTTCCTCCTTCTACATGTCCATAACAAAGATCATGTGATCACAGTGTTATTTCATTTCTTGGTCTAGTCTCACTTTATATTTTGATAGTCTTCTTTTGCTTTTCTACAAATGCTCAAATAGTTAAATTATCTGGTGAAACTTGTAGATTGTCAGTAGTGATTTAGGTTTAGGGTGGGCCTGTAGATAGTGACGGTTAACCAAGTTACCATGGTAACAGTCTCCAGTGATGATTAAAACTTGTTTACCACCAGTTTAAAAACCTGTCGTTCACTTATTTGTTCACTTAATGTAAACCAATGCAAGACACTGGTGCTCTCACACATAAACATAACTGAACTTTTAGACATGTTGGAGGATGTGATATCCTACTTTAATACCACATTTATTGTACCTAGCATAGATAAGGTTATTTTAGAAACATGGCTGTGCTGGTTAAATGTTCTCGGTCTGGCAGACAGACATTCCTGTTCAAAAAGCCTCAGATGTTACGGTGTACAATTTAGGACATTCTCATACCACAGCATCAGCTTTCACCCATCAGGAAAAATGACAGTGTCTTGGGAAAACTTGGTCAAATTGGGTACAAAATCATGGCTCGGCTCTCGTTCTTCAGGAGAAACAGGCTTTCTCAAACAGGCTTAGGCAAAATGGCTTTGGAGAAGGAGGCATCAGGCCAAGAGACCACAAACACTCTGACGAAAAAGTTTGTGTGACATTTGCAATTTCGTTCTTTCTTTTGAGGATGATTACAGTTTTGTGTCCAAATCGAAAATAACATCATACTACAACCACAACTTTTAATGAACTGTGCTTATGTTCTTTGATTTGACAAAGATTAATCTTGCTCCTGTGTCTGCCCAGTTTAAAAGACCATCACATAATTACTTAACGACAAGGTAAAGGAACCCCAAAAAATCCCCCCCAGGCCTGTGTTACCTGCACAGGCCTAGTTCAGGATAAGGGTTAGGATTAGGACAAGAATTAGGGCTAGGGTCCGATTCTGGGCTGTGGATAAGGTTAGGGTTATGTTCACACTATAGCGGGAAACTCATGTTGTGCGCTGCCCTGTACAGCAGCAAGATTTGACTACACCATCAATCAGACGGCGAGCAACTTTTCAGAGGAGCTCAAACAAACATCTAAAACACTCCTTAGAACATCAAAGTGAATGGGTGGAGCTAAACTGCTGTATAAGTGGACCTATGTAAAAATGTATGTTTAGCTGTGTTGTAGGTTTCATTTCAACTTTTGGGAGGAGGGCACAGCTCATACCACCTCACCAATCATATAAAAAAGATTTTAAAGTAATGATTAGCATTAAAGACACATTACATTAGGAATGTGCTGTTAAAGGTTTATTCAATATGAAATACATTTTTACCTTATATAATTTACAGTACTGTAATTACATTTAAACAACATGCTGTCACCAGTAATATTCACAGTTATAATGCAGCATCATAACTGTTGGAGGTGGCCTCTTGGTTAACTTCATTAACGTAAGTATTCATATAAAACTGTTCATCAAGCTAAGCAATAGAAACCTCACTTCAGTATCATTATGTTTATTAATGTAATAAACTTATAACCAACAAGGCTTTTCCCCTCATGGGAGTTCATAGATAAAAGTGATGCAAGTATCATGATGAAAAAAATTATACATTTATCTAGAACCTATATATGAGAGGCTTATTAAACAATAAAAACACAGTATGCATTTGCTGTACTCTATGTTTTTTGCTCCTTACGCTCACACTTTGACTTTGACGCTCAAAATAGTTCTAATACCGGGCTTCCTTCTCTAATATCAGACTTCCTTTTCTTCATTGCTGTTTACACATACAGATTTCTGATCTCTTCAACATAGATCAGTGTAGCTGTTAGGCAGTGGGCTGAGAGAGGCAAGGCTAGAATTGCACTAATCGAATACCTTTAGAATGAGACTCGACCAGACAGTTTAACGTACAGTCGTCACTGGACAACACCGTTTAAAACTGGACTCTCTAGCTGAAAACCAGACCCCTTGGTAGACATAGACACAGAAGTACACCTTTATACGTAAAAGTTTTTCTCTAGGTTCAACAAAGTAAATAAATCTGCTCGACCTACTAAACTAGCTAGCTAGCTAGCTATTGCTAACAGACTAGGCCTTTTAAACCATAGGAGAGGTGCAGGTATATAACAAGCTTGCAGTGTTTTACATAATCACAGGTAGTCTGCTTAGTTTACCTCACTTTTATACATCCATGACAGTCTTGAACATGTGGAGCTGGCTCAGTTTGCCACAGTAAAGAAACATGAAAGATGCTAATTATATTGAGACTACGTTTCCCAGGAGTCTTGTGTGTGCAGGGAATGTAAAGACATGACAGGAAAATATGGATTTAAACCTAGATCCTCTCTGTTTAGGCCATAGTTGATTAGCAGTCACAACTCATTGTTAAAAAGCATTGTCTGGATTCAATTCACCCCCCTCCAAACATTAAAACCATAAAAGCGACACACCCTACCACTCCAACTGTTGTCCCCACTTATGATATTCAGTTTGCATAAATGAACAGTATAGACTAGGAAGTGTGTGGAACATTTTGAAACTTTGGCAGTGTTTACATACTACAAAAAGGTCCTTTAATGACCAAGTCAGCATGTAACAGTTGTCCTTAGTGTTTCTCAGGAAGGACACTCATATGAAAAGCATTCGTAACTCCTCCATGTTTTCTTAAGCAGTAACTTATGCTGATAAGATGATAGCAGACCTAGCAGACAGACAGGAAGTAGTTTTATTTACATGCAGACAATGGGCTCGACTTTGTAGCTAGTGGGGCATACTGTATTAGCATCAACACACTTGTTATTAGCATTCTTCCCTTCATCTCATTTGATACGTTTGAAACCGCAGATGCTTATGATATGGCCTTCTTTTATGTGGCGTCTTGCCAAGGCCGGGCTGGAAATGGTTAGCTTTAGCGAAAGCCTTCACCCGAACAGGTTAGCGAAAACAAACTCCAGCTCAACCACCATCCCCAAATAAAGCGAAAGGCACTGGAACAGAGAGCGAAGTTGGTAGAGCTGAGGAGGCGTGAAAGTGAGAGAAGGGGGGGGTAGCTGAGTTGAGGTTTAGAAACATGCCGCTTTCTGCTGAGATGACATTCAAACAAGGGCAGGAAATGCGACATGTATGTTGTTTTGGCACTCCCACAGACACTTTGATTTAGACTGTTGTTAGTTTTGGCTGAATTTGAAAGTAGGTCATATGAGGTTTTCTAGGAGGAGATTTCCTACATAATCACTTTATTCACTTTAGCCATGCATTTCTTATATGCTTTCACTGTGGTTTATAGCATGGGAGCATGTTATCATGCTGTTTAATCGCAGAGGTGTATTGCGATCTAGTGCTGTGTGAAATTGTCTGTGCCGGTATACTGATATGCCAGTATACTGAAAATCAACAATATTTATGTTTAGTTTTAGATTACTTTAGTGTATGTCATTTGCTGGATGCTTCAGATTGTTATGAGCAGTTAGATCCCGTTGCTTTTAAGTAAATGTGTCTCAATATCTGAAAATCAGTGTGTACCATTAAGAATTGTCACTACTGAAACACGTATTTTATGCAAATTAAGTAAACGTTTTTGTTTTAATGAAAAATATTCAGATTTTATGTGTGTACAGCTATTCAGAGCTGTGTTTGCTAGTCTAGTTTTGTGCTGGCTAGAGTCTTTGCTCAAAGTTATGCTCAAAATTAGCTAAAACTGTTACTACCGAAACAATCACTACCAAAACATTTGGTAAAGTTTTGGATGTGTTATTGTTTTAGATGTGACAAAATGTAATGTTTAAATATTTATTTTAATAAAATAAACATAATAAAGGTATAGGGATCCTTTAAAGCAAACAGATTTTAGTCTTAAGTCCAATCAGTTAAAAGTCTGAAATGTTTTTTTCAGCTCTGACTTTGAGCCAATTCAGAAGAATCATCCACACATGGAAAATTTAGGGATGTTAAATTTTGTTGCGATTACAATCACAAACAACCTGCAAATGGACAGCATTTAATGCACTGCTTTGACCATTGAGCAAGTAAACTTAATTGAAACTGCGTTGTAGCTGAATGAGCCAGTTATAACGATATGGATGTCAGAAAGCTGAAGAAAATCTAAGCCTCTTCTCTGGAGACTTCAAAAGCCTGAGGCTAAACTGCCTGAGGAGAATCAACACCACAGTCCTCAGCTGATGAAGGAAACACCAAAGGGTACATCAGAGGGAATTCAGTTGTACTAAAAGAAAAGTTCAGTATAACAATGTGCACCAGGCTTCTCTGTCTTTAGAAAAGTTTC